GAAAGGGCAAACTGCAGGCATCCTTATCTACAGAAGCTGAGAGGCAGGTAAATCTTTCGAGGTCCTTGGAAAGAATCTCTGGGACAGTAAGATCTCTACTCTTCCACACGTCCTCCAGATGGACGGTACAGAAGAGAGGAGTCCTGTCCAGAAAGGGGCAGGGGGAGGGGGTCAAAACAGAGACCCTCTGCTTTCCCAGAAGCAAAGTTCAGAAATAATGCAGTTCAAGACATGGCCCATAAACTGTGGATCACCAGTCCACCGCAACTTCTAAAGCCATCCCAGCTATTTGCACCTGCCACAACAAGCAACGGCATGTTCGCCGGACACGCCTCATCCCCTAGCTCACAGACCGGTCTGGATGGTGCTGAGCTCCCAAGGTGAGCCATGCCTGGCACAAGCTGCAAACTCCTTGTACAAACAAAGTAAGGCTATGTTTCCATCTGCAACATTTTGGGAATGAAGGAAAAAAAAAAAAGAAAACTGGCACTTTGCCACATTTCAGTTGAGAAAAACTAACTTTGGGTAACCCCTTCATTTCACAAAGAAAACTAAAGTCCCGGAACATTAAGTGTCCCCACGCCTAATGCACAGGAGCAGAGTGGGGAACAGAGAGGAGAAGAAACCAGACAATTGCACTTCCCAGCTTCCTCCTTTTAGCCGGTGGTCTCCATGGGAACCCCAAGGCAGGCCGGGCTGCAGGACCCACACACTCGCACTGAATAGGTGATTCAGGATTCAAGGTGGACCGCCCGGGCATGGTGTTTCCGTCCCGCTTTACCTGAATCTCAGACACACCACATCTATAACCAACAATTTTTCCTTTCAAAACTAAGCTTTCTTCCCAACTATTTCATTCCTGACCCCACTACCCTAATCTGCAAGCACCAGATTCCAGAAACACTTACTCAAAACAAGGCTGGCATGTGGATTCTTCCTGCAAAGTCCCTTGAGGTCCACTGAGCCAGTGATGAAAGCGAATATAAAGAGCCAGGAGCTAGGCACAGCTGGGGGCAAAGGGTTTGGTCCGCCACGTGCAAGTTCACAGCCCCAAACACAAAGATCAAAAGCCTTCGCTGCGTAAAAAAGAAAACTTGCCAGTGCTGGTTTTCCCAGTCTGAGTTAGGATTTTTGCTAATTTTGTCAATGTCTCTTCCTTTCAGTGGTACTGTGAAGAACAAATGAGGACTTATTTTTCAGTATCTAGTACTGTACTTGGAACATGGTAAATGCTCATAAATGTTGAAAGACAAAGGGAAAGAAAAGGGGCGATAAAACAAGTAGGATCACAGTCTTTTCACCATCTGGGCCATGCCGGTCCCCTATTTGTCCCAAAGCTTCCTAAACTAACCCCCAAGGAAGCCACCTCCTTCTCAGAAGCTGCACACATGCTGGGAACAAGGGGGAGTCCTCAGCTGACTGCCAGATGCAAGAGTGTGAGAGGAAATGAGGCCAAAAGCCCAAGAGGTCAGGGTGGGAAAGAGAGCTGGGAGACCCGGAAGCTGAGCCAAACCAAAGCCCCTCCCCATGCTCCCCGCCCCCACCTCCGGTGAGCCAAACCCCTTGCTACAGCCTCAGGGGTATGGGAGGGGACTTGGCAGGACCACAAAGATCATTTCTAGCAGCTGGGGGGAGCCCGGAGCCTAGGCCCCTCCTCAGCAAACTCAGCAAGTGGGCCACGGGAGCCCTGACTGTGATCCCTGCGGGCGGCTCCCGGGCCCTTACACTGTGGCAGGCAGGAAGGCTCTCTCCCTTTGGCTCGCTCACATATCTATCCTGCGCTGTCCTCTCAATGGTTCCAGAAGGCGCTGGGGTCACTAAGGAGGTGGGGCTGAGCTCTGGGACTCTAACTACTGTCCTTATCACACATGCGGGGGGGGGGGGAGCACGAGCTCTCTCTCTCTCTCGCTCTCTTTCAGCATTCCCAGACTCAACTCTGTGTTTGGTTCCCTTCCTGCTCTAGCCTGACACGCTCACCTGAGTCCTTATCTCCCCAAGTTCACTGCTGCTTGAAAACTTACCTCGGAGAAAAAGAGTTTCTGCTAGACCCTCATCAAGGACTGGAGAGTAGGAAGAACAAGCAAGCAAGAACTAGTAGGAGTCACCCACGGTGTGTGGATCACAGATCCTCGACAAAGGGGCATTTCTGCAGTGGTCCAAAGGAGAGACAGGAGGCAGAGATCCCGGGCACAGTCCCAAAATAGTTTCCAGACATCCTCAGCCAGTCAAGGATTCCCATGGGGCAGAGCGTGGGAGCAGCGTGGGAGCCCGAAAGCAGGGGTGGCCTGGAGCTCTCGGCACTGGGCACTCACTCCTGTCCAGGCTGCCAAGAAGGAGGCGGTGGCAACAGTGTGTGCTATGGCATGTTCCTTGGGCTATCATGGGTAGACACATAACACACTAGCCAGCAAAATGACAAATTGCGTTTATCAAACTCAACTCTGTGCCTGTGCTAGGCATTACACAAACCCTACAGCATGGATGTGCCTGAAACTCTGGCTGGACTGCACACAGCAGATGAGCATATTCCCACTGCGTGCTGCACACCACTTACCCATGAGGTTTACCCATCTTGCACCCATCCTGTGGGAACACAGACTGGGACAAGTGATGCCCCCTTGTCCCATGTCCCAGAGTCTTGGCCTGATCTCAGAATGAGCTCACGTACCAGACACATCTTCCTACACTACGACCTGCTGAGGGAAGATGATCTGGTAACACTGCCTCATCGGGGTATGTGGGACACGGCACCTGATTGGCCACCTAAGGAAACTCCATGTGAGGGAAAGGTGGCACCAGGAATGGGGGAGGGGCAGGCGGGGACGGGAGAGTGTCAGATCTGAGCGCTTGTTGGCAATGCCCAAGCCAGGCCAAGAGGAGGCTAGGATTCTCAGACAGACAACTCAACAATAAAAACAAGCACAGACACAATCTCGGAACTTCAAAAGCACAGCCGGCTCAGGCCCTACGCTGAGAAGGGGGAAGGAGGAAGATGTGCTTGGAAGGCTTCCTCTGTTTTTTCAAGGAGCCTCTGCCGCATGCCCACAACACCAAAGGTTGAGGTATCAGGCTGAGAGCTTCCAGCAGCACTGCAGAGCCAGCAGAACGCAGGCAGGGAGAAACGGAGAACACGCTTGGAAAGAACTGAAGAGAAGCCATCGCTAGGCAGGAGGGGGGTGCTTTGGGGAGTAAACAAACCTGCCAGCAGGCCTTCCTCCAGCAGAGAGGGAAGCTCTGGCTGACAAGGCCGGAGACACAGCGGAGGGAGGGAGCTGCCTCCGCCCTGAGCCCATCTGTGCTCAACCCCTTGTCCTGTTCTCCCCAGGGTGGGGGGCAGAACAGGTGCACTGCAGGATCTCCGTGCCCACAGCCCTCAACAGCACACACACTGCTTACAGCTCCCCCAGTCAGCAGTGGGAGGCCAGGAAAGGAAGTGGAGGTGGAACCGGGGGTTCTGCTCTGGAGAAGGGAGCGAGTGAGCTCACAGCTCTCTCCTCCCCACCCACAGCACCGCCAGTATCAACCACCCTCTGCTTCCCTCAGGGGCCGCCCACTGCTCCCAGCCTCACCAAGGCCTGCCCAGCTCCCCAGGGGAGCTAATGCCACCTGGCTCTTCTTCTTCCCCCAGAACGGGGCTTCAGAAGCAAAATTCATGCCCTCCCCCAAGCACTTCCTTGCCTCAAGTTCCTTGGGAGGAGGCCAGGGAACCACCCCGGCTCCTGATCCACCCAGCAGCCGCCTCGCCCAGGAGCCCCCATCCCACGTGGGGAAGCAGAGTCCCTCCCCGCCAGCGTCCCCACCCAGTCAGTGAGGCGGCAGGGTGCCACTTCCAGCACCTCCACAGAGCTTCCCACAGCTTTCCCAGGAAGCGGCAGAAGGACTGCCAGGGACCAAAGTCTAAAAGCCTCTGGGGACTTCAGCAGCTTGCCCACCTGCTATCCAAGCCACCTGATTCCCATAGCTCCCGAAGGGCTCCAAGGGCCAAAGGGGAAAGTAGGGCTGAGGCAGGGGCAGGGACAGGCTCCCTCCCCCCATCCTGCCCCTGCCCTGATAGTCCCCACACTCCTTCCCCAGCCTCTCTGCTCTCAACTTGAGAGGCAGCCACATGAAGCTGCCTCCCGCTCTGTTTTCCCCACCCTGGGCCAGCAGAGGATACTGCTGAGTAATCCCAAACACTCAGCGGGTCCCCAGCCCTGAAAAGAGGAGCAAAGCCCAAGGAAACCTACCGATCCTGGTCCTTGCCAACGTGAGAGGAACATCTGTATTCCCTAGTAATGGCTGAGACCCCACCAGATTCTGCCCTGCTTTGCCCCAAATACCCCAGTCCCAGCCCTCAGGCGATCACAGTGCCCCCTTCTCTGCTTCCCACGCACCTGGTAACATTCCCTTCCCAGTCCCCCAGACACCAAGCTGCACAGAGTAACAACAGCCGCCCGACGGATTCCCAGTCATGATGTTGCATCAGCCCCCACCCTACCCAAAATATCCTCACCCCCACCACCTCCTCTCCTCTCCAGCCATCTCCATGGTGACAGCAGCATGACTAATGACACCCTATCAGCTTCAGACTCAGGAGCACAATCCCCCCATCCCCCTTTAACACCCCCCCCAGGGCGCCCCGGGATTTCTGCAGGTTGGATGCAAACTAACAGCACCAGGGACATTCTCTAGAGATTTCCAGAGGCAAGGGTGGGGAGTGGGTTGCATGTCTTAAAAAAAAAAAAAAAAAAACCAACAGTTCAACAAACCCAATCCCAACAGCACCCAAACCATCCAGCTGAGAAAGCAAAAAGAATCCAAACAAAACCCACACAGGCCTGAGAATTCATTGGTCGCCCACACCCCCGCCACCCCTCCCCCTCAGCTGCTGCTACACACACAGTGGGAGATTAAGGGATCACCAGAGGAGACCCTTTATTTTTATCCAATCCAGTCAAACACTTCACCCCCACCACACACGCGCACACGCACGCGCGCGCGCGCGCACACACACACGGTACCTTGACAGCAGCCCCTTGTCCCCACGGCCCGGCTCCTTCACCAGCCTTTATTTCCACCTGCAAAAGAAGCCAGAAAGACTGATGAGCCAGGCAGACACGAGGAAAGAAGCAAAGTCCTTCGGCTGCACAGCCCCAGCACCACTGCAGGGGAAGGAGGAGAACAGGAGGGAGGGGGCCGCGGAAAGAAAGGATAGCAGGGACCATCTTCCTGCCTCCAGCTGCCGCCCAGACTCTTGGTGGATGGGCTCATTCGCCTTCCTGTGTTTTTGTTTTCATTTCTCCTTTTTCCACCCTCCCGAGATCCAGGAGGGCACTGCCCCTCCTCCTGCGTCCTGTCTGGCCTCGTCTCCCCCCGCCCTGCCCGCTCTACCTCGGCCGGCCTCCTCTGGTGCATCGGCCGGCGGGCCTCCCATTATCCCCGCCGGAGCACACGGAGGGAGGCACTGCAGAGGAGGCGGCGGCCAGCTGCCGGCTTGGCTCCCCTCCCCGCCGCCGGCGAGGCTGGTGTGGAGGGGGCGGCGCGCTCACCAGCCAATCCCCGTGGCCCGCCGGGCGGCGGGGGCAGGGCCGCCGGGGGGTGCTGGACCTGCCCAGCCGGGAGGCGGGGGCGCCGCCAAGGGTGCCGCGGAGCTGCGCTGGCTGCGGCCCAGGTCTGTCGCCGCTCCCCGGCAGGCCGGGGATCCCGGGGCACCCCGCTTCCTCCTGAGCAGGGGACCCTGAAGGTAATACCCAGGGCGTCCTCTGCATCTCCAGAGTCAAAGAGGGCAGACGGCGCCCGGGGTCGACCTGGGGGGGGACTGGTGGGATTCCCCCTCCAGCCCCTCTGTCACCCCAGGACACCAGCATACTGCCTCATCCTAGCAGCAGCGAGGACAGTGCCAGGTGCTAGGATAAGAGCAGGAGGAGTGACAACCTCCGTCATCTTCCAAGAAAAAAAAAAGTCTTGGCAGTATGAACGTTTACCCCATTTTTGCAGATGAGGAAACAAGGCGAGACAAGTAAAGGAACTTACCCAAGGTGACAACAGCTGGAACACAGCAGGGGTGGGACTCCAAGCCAGATCCATCTGGCTCTACAGACCAGACTCTTAACCGTGACACATAGTCCTGCTCCTCCCTCCCTCTTGTGCCCACCTCGGAAAACAGACGGCTTGAAGCCCACCAAGTCAGCCTTGCCCTCCCCATACACACAAACACCCACACCTCACCCTAGATCGCTCATCCCTCATGCCTGAACACACCCCACCCTATCCAGACAGCCTCCGCCACCACCACTAGGATGTTTCCTCCTCTCTTAGAAAGGCCACAGAAGGTGGCCCTCCAGGTCCTCGGCGCCCCCCAGACCTCAGGGCTCCCAATCCCTGGAAAAGGCTGAGGACAAGAGGTGACCCAGACCCCAAGAGGTCTGGCCTCCACTTCCCAGACTCTGAGCCTTTGAACGCTACAACACCCAGGAGAGAGAAGAATGGCAGGAGGGGAAAGAATAGAATGGGGAGAGGAAGGTCTTACAAACCACTCCTCGATTTCATTTCCTGGGCATTCCTGGGCACACCCTGCTGCACCCTATCCCCTCCCTGTAGCTGAATACCCCCGAAGTTTCTACCTCCTGGGAAAGCGACAGCCACAGACTCTGGTGCTTGCACGTCTGGTTGAGTTTCTGGCTCCATCACCAGCCAGCCGCAGCACCATGGTCATGTTACTTTACCTCTCTTAGCCTCACTTGGCTCTTCTGTAGAATGGAACTACAAACACCAGCTAAGCCCTGCGCAGTCAGAAGTATTCTACAAAGAAAGGTAGCATGGTGCCTGCCACATGACCGAGCAGAGCAAGCCACCATCACTCTGAATTTCGAGGGGGAGCTCACCATGTGCTACTTCTCATCTCACAGATGAAGGTGCTGAGGCCACAGAGGAGAGGTAACTGGTAGAACTGGTTAGGATGTGTGGGAGCCTCTGTTTCAGTGACCTGCCCAGTTGCTGCCCCCTTCACGGGGTCCCAAGCTAATACTCAGAATGGGAGGAGCTGCCTTGGCCTCTGGTGAGGAGACTCCAAGAAGCACTAGGGCCCACACCTGCCTCACCCCTGGGGACAAAGGGCAGCCCTGCTGGCTCCTCTCCAGGGTAGGCAACAAGGCAAGGCAAGGAGCAGGGTCCTACACCATGGCTCAAGATGGGAAACGGCTTCTGCACCCCCAAAGCTCTTACCTTGGCCAGGCCAAGAGAAGTCCCCTCTTTACTCTGGTCCCCAGCACCCCTGCCGCCCCCCCCCCCCACTGCTTGGACAGTAACAGTTAACACTGTTGCCGCTGCGGCTGCCACAGTTTATCAAGCCCCTGCTGCGTCCCAGGCCCTGTGCCAGTTACGCTGTAGGAGCATCTGACTGAGCATCTGACTTACTCCACACACAACCTTGCCTCTCATGGGGAAGCGGACGAGAGATGTTAAGTCACTTGCCCAGCAACACACAGCTGGTGAGGAGTGAGCTAGAATTCCAATCTAGGCCTTGTTCATTCCAGTTCTCTCAGCCCCCTCGCTCTCTGCCAACCCCAGGGAAATGCAAAAAGGGATAGGGTCATTTGAACCTAACCACTTCCCTTCAAGCTATGGGTCTGAGAATAGTAACGTTTTTCATGCCTCAGAGACTTTGGGAAGCTGCTCCTTGACTGGATTCCCCTCCCCCTGCCCGGTGCTAGGCTTCCTCCGCCTGTTCCCTCCCTCTGCTGCTCTCCCAGCTCCTCTAGCCCCCACGGGCATCCCCCGCTCCTCCGGGGCCTCACAGCGCAGCTCACAGCCTCTCCCAGAGCACCGGTCACAACCAGGCACAGTTATTTATTTACACGGCGGTCTTCCCCATGTGGGCGGGGGGCCCCCGTCTTCCCCTTGACTTAACTAGGCTGTGCTAAGTTTCTAGGCAAGGAGGGTGGAAAGGCAGGGGGTTGGGCACTGAAATATGGAGGCCACTCTCCTGACTGACCTTCTCTTTGAGGTCCCCAAGGATCAGAGGGACACCTGCTCTCTGGAGAGGGCAGACCTGTTCGAACTGAACTACAGCTGAGCCTTAGCCTCGTTCAACCAGCACGTCTTCCTCCACAGCCTGCAGAAGCCACCCTGACTGTCTGAACCCCCCCCCCCCCGGAACTCCACTGCTAATTCAGTCTTACCCTACCCACAGGTCCTGGCTCACCAGAGCCTATGGTCCCCAGGGCAGTCTACCTGCCCCCGTCTCTGTCCCACACGGGCCTCCTGCCCTTTCCTGAGGAACCTGGAATGTCAGGGCTCCAAGGAGTCACAGAGGTACATGCTCCTAGCAGAGACACTGTCCACACCCCACAACCAACCCTCTCCCATCTCTACAGGCCTCTCTTTCGACATTTTGGACTTCTCAGTGACTGACCCAGAGGTACTTGTGACCCCTGGGGGCTGAGGGGCCCCTCCCCACTTTCTGTCATGACCCCAGTCCCACCATACTCCCAAAAGAGGAATAGGGCCACAGCCATCCCCACTGAGGAGAGGCAGATGGATTCACTCACTCTCAGAACACACAAATTACCCCAACACTGAGAACCTCAGTAACATGGGTACCCACAGGCCGGAAACCAGACAGATATACAAAGACTAGGGGATGGGGACACATCCAGACATAGATTCAGGAGCATGTGCAGGAACATCAACCAAACATCAACCCCCATGTAGGGCCCCACACTTGGAGCATGGCGTAGCATATCTTATTTAATCCTCAAAACAAACCAGTGAAATAGGAATTATTCACACCCATTCTACAGATAGAGAAATCCATTTACAGGGAGACTAAGCATCTTGCCTAAGGTTGATGACTGAGCAGGGCTCTTGCCACCCCCTCACTTGCACTGATACAGCCGGGCTGCTCTGTGTAGTTCTAGGATTTTCGTATCAACCTACCTCTTCTAGCGTTGGCAGAAGATAAACTTCTCTTCTCCAGCACAGCTGTGTCCTGAATGAGGTCACTCCCCACAAAGCTTTACTTTAAACCTCAGTTCAAGACCCGATTCCTCCAGGAAGCCTTCTAGGGTTACCCCAGTCCTCTGTCAGCTGACAGTACTTCTAACGTTTCTCATCTGACACTCGGTACTGCTATTTGTCTGTCTGGGTGTCCTGCCTCCCCCACCAGAATGGCTGGAGTCGTGCATTCCCAAAGCCCCTGCAGGGTTTTGCCCAACATACCACACACGGAAGGCACCTGAAATCAACTGTGGGAGAAGTCATACCTTCCTCTCCTTCCCTCTCCATCACACAAAGGATCCTGCCAAAGAAACCCAATACCCCCTCCACCTTCAGAGCCTATGTTTGAAGTCCCCGGTGTCCACGCATCAATTTCCACCCAAGTAATTGCAGCCCATCACACACATCATCCCCTATATTTGAAACTCTTTGCGGTTGTCATGGGAACTGCCTTTGCCTTCATTCACTGATCAGGCCTCACAATTAGCTTTGGCAGCGGAAGTCTGTGTCAACAGCAATCACAAGGAGAAGGAAGAGGAGGAGGAGGAGGAGGAGGAGGAGGAGGAGGGGGGGGGAGGAGGAGGAGGAGGAGGAGAAAAGGTGCTTCTCCTGGAGACGCAGCGAAGATGGACTAAACCCAGGCACCCAGCAATGTCCGAGGGAATGTAGTCGGAGCCTGCCAACAACTCCGCTGGCCCGCCTGCTTCCGAACTCACCAACAGAATGCACCTGGGCCCCCCAGGCTAGTGCGCAGAGGATGGAGCTCTGCCCATACCCCGCATGCTGTCCTCAAAGCTAGTGAGAAAGTCTTCCAGTCTACTTCCCCACCCCAAATTCAACAGCCTTGGGCCACCAAATGTCCCAGGATCCAAGCAAACAACACGGGACCTTAAGAGGTCATTGAGAAGTGGGACAGGAATGCTGAGTGGTTTAGATGGGGATGCTGGGGACAGCGCCCAGGGAAGACTTCCAAGAGCAATTCACACAAAGCGTCTTCCCCACCACCTGGAGGATCTGGGAATACCCTCGGGTGGCCCCCTGCAGTCTGTTCGCATCCTTCCACACCCTGCCACCAGCCCTG